TATATATATATAGGATTAATATAAAAATGATTTAAATATTTTTAACTCTATTCTATAAAACTTAACCGATTTGTCCATCTTACTGGCTTTTGGAATTATTCTTTCAAAAAGTTTATTAATACACAATTATTCTTTGTATCTTTCTCTGTTAATAAAAATGTATATGTCTATAATGTTAAACTAAAATGAATTTATATTTGTGTAATTTCATGCAAAAGTTAAATTTCGTCCGTTATTTAAAAATTAGTGAAATGCAAGTTTTGTGAATAAATACGTAATGCGGTTCTAAATTAATGTTCTGATTTCAGAATTTGGACAGTTTTGTTTCTGCCCTATGCGATCATCAGCATCTCCATCTGCCAATTTTCAGTCCTTTCAACCATCCCAGTGGGCGGTGCTACGCCCATTCGCTACGATACTAAGCTTCATCCGGATTACACGTGCGGTTGCGCATTTTTATGGAAATTTTTTGTTCACTTTTTCTGCCTCGAGTTATTCCACGTGAATTTTTTTCGAGCTCGCTCCCGGCAACTTCAACATGCAGTTCGATACGTTACATCTCACGTTCCGATTCTTCTTTTCTTTTTTCTCTTTTTTGTACGGCTTTGCTCCATTCGTTCTCCAGTACACGTAAAAAAGAGAATTTTTGTATTCCGCGTTAGCTTTATATATGTATTATGCTTTGTACAAAAAAAGCCTTCTTGTATTTTATTTTCGATCGTCTTATCATCTCTCGATAATAGAAAATTACATGGTTATATCAATCGCGAAAATCTCGACAGCTTATCGAAAGTATAAAACACTATGATCAATACGATGGTTTAATTTTGTTCAGACATTGTGATTTGTGTAATAGAGCAAGGACAGAGAAGCGCGTCCTCTTTTGACTGAAATCTTGACCAATAAAAGGGACATTAGCGCTAAGTGGACGCTTCGCCTACTCGGGCATAGCCCTGTTTGTTACACGAGAGCAAGAGGGTGACGAATGCAAGAGGGATACGTTTAGCGATAGGTATAACTGCCACCTAATTTATCATATATATATATATATATATAGATTCTTTCTCGTAC